GGGAAAGGAACAAATCTTGGTGCACGAACAGAAGGAGCTGGTGAGATGTCTATTGTTTACGTCCATCAACCTTGCGGCAATGACGTAAGGTGAAAAGCACCTATTATTTAAGTTTAAACACATCCAGACACTCACGAAATTATTTGCCTTATACTGTACCGTTGTTTCACCTCAGAAACGGACTCCCCGCGGCGCTTTGAGATTAAACTTTTTCATAAGATCACTATAGTTATGTCATCCATAATCGAAAATCCAAAAATATAGAGGCACGAAAATTTTTATCCTCATCAGGCATAAGGGGGTCTAAATTCGTCTCTGCTATCAAATTTTCAGCTCGATAGCGTGCTTGGTTTGCAAACCAGCGAATTTTGAAGTTCAGAGTTGTGGTGGTTGGGTGAAATAAAGTTCCGACCGCATTTGTTGAAGAATATAGACCTATCTTTCTGGTGATTTGTGGCCTTTTTAGGAAATTAAGAGTCAGAAAAATTTTTTGTTGGTTTAGTTTAGATAATCAGTGGGCTAGGTAGCCAAAGTAAGTTCCACATGCTCTACATAATTTTCGGCCGACATGTTGGTGGACAAAACATATCCACCAATATGGCGCCTCCATACTGGGCTCTGTAAATTTGCGCAAAACATTTCGACAAATATCTTAAGTTTGGGCAAACTAAGAGACCTACGACTTGAAGAAGTGCTTCCTTAACCTATCTCCTATAGCACTGCAGTTTCTGAACCTTAATCACGGAGCTTCTCTTTCTCGATGCGTGACAGAGAAAACGATACAACGGTATCTAATGGGCGATCTATGTACGCTACAGAGCAGGCTTTTTAACTTTTTATACCAAATATAAAACCATTTCAATAGCTACTTTTTAATTCACTTCCTGTTACAACGTAACCACCATGGTCAGAAGCTCCAGATTCCATTGCTCGTCCGTAGCTAAAGCAAAACTGTTGCTCTTCCCACCTGATTACGGAGCCATGTGATAAAGTTTCGCATCAAAATTCCTGAGGTCATATTTATTAGACAACTCCTTTAGACAAGCAACGAAATAAGGTGCTTTTCGGCGCCAGTACGGTGTTTACATTAATAGCTAATAACGCTCTAGTGCCGTTTTCGAATCAATTTGACAAAAGCTCACATCAGCTTTTAAAAAGAAAGTTGACGATCGAGTTGGTTATCGAAGATCATATAACCGATATGTGACATCTGACCTTGATGTGGATCGTCCATGCGGTAGTTTATTAACGAAATATGATCCCCTGACGTTCTCCTACTTATATGTAATAAAAAGCGTACTTTTATTAGACAAAATAGATCAGCTGTCCTTATTTTACATCCAGTTTTCAGGACACTTAAGTCGCCTTAAGTTGCTTTAAGTCGCCTTAAGTTGCTTTAAGTCGCTATTGGTTACGAAATGTTATAGGGGTTCCACCTTTGCCAATTGACCCCATTCCCCCCACCGTTTAATCATAAGGATCAGAGGAGGAGGCATAGTGGCTGAATGGTCGATGCACTGGACTCGAAATGAATCTAGTTTTGGTGTGTAGTATTGGAGCATCCCATTTTGGTCTTGGGCAAGATACTGTAAGCTCAGTGCCTCACCTTCTCCTGGTGTAAATATGGGTACCGTTTAGCAAGGGGGGAGGTAACCTTGCAATGGATTATGAGTCTAATTATTGTTATTGCGAGGTGAGCAATGGCTTCCATATACATGGAAATCCAATGTGAAAATAGTCATGCACCTGTCTAGCCCCTGTGCTGGCATGGGTAATTCCTACATGTAGACAATACTGATGTAGGATATATGGCAATGTATACTCTTCTATTTTCTTACTCAGACAGCCTTTCTGTTTTAGTTTGTGTCTTGTATTTCATGATGAAAAAGTTGACAAAAGTGTTGACACTGTGTATTATCATCAGAATATAATGACTATTGAATCAAATCAAACCTACAGCTCCGTGCCAGATCATCAAGATAAAACGATAGAAAGGTATTCTGGAGAAAACCTCAATACTTGTCACTCACTTATACCTTGAGCAGTAAATATAACATTATCAAAAGTCAAATAAACTTGACTATAGAATATATCATGTATTTGAACTGCAAATTAATAAATGAAGATGATCATCACAGTTAGGAAGTTCAACACTATTTAAGCAGTAGCAAAAAATAAGCACGACAAAAAAAATACGTTTGTGCGGGATTTGAGCCCATGACCTCTGCGATACCGGTGCAGTGCGCTACCAACTGGGTTAACAGTTTGGGGAATGGGTCATTTTGTTAGTTTGTTAGAAAAACGTGAGTGAGAAAGTTGTATACTCGAGAAAACAATACATATTTTCAGAGTAATTTATCACTGTACGTGTATCACTGCTGAATAGATGAATAAAAGAACAGTCGTATAGATAACATCAATGGCAATTGTTTTCTCTCTCACTCTCCCTGTCTC